CAACAACAAGAACAGGGGCGACCGCACTCAGGTCACAGAGCTGCTGGAGAAGATAGAGGACATGGTGGCAGGAAAGAGTGACTGTTATTATGAGATTGAGGAAATGAATTTACAGGAGATGGAAGAGAAGTTCAGGACTTTGGGAATAAGGAAGAGACAGAGGATACAGGAGCTACTGCAGAAGACACTGGGACCCCAACTGCTTCCCAAGAGTGAGTTTGTGTTCTCTCTCTGATAGGGGTCACACCTCAGTACTCTCAGTTTAATACAGATATTAAATGGGGTCATATTATCATATATTTAAGCTTCTGATAGAAGTCTGAGTAGCTCTGAAATGAATCATATATTTTAATTTTGTTTAATGAGATAAGTAATAAATGTTAAATTTGTGTGATGTCCTGGATACCCAGTTCTACAGCAGGGTTCTGCAGGAAAAGACTCACAGCTGTGTTGGAAACAGACCTCTGTGGGGTATCTAACCTGTAGAACAACAGGTCACCACTGGGTCACACTGTGAGCTCTGCTGAGACTCCTCACTCACTGCAGCTCATCTCAGTGCTGAGTTTCTGAAATTGAATAATCTGTGATCTTTCTCTCTGACAGGGGAGGGACAGGTGGATTCCCATGAGGCACCACAGCGTCTCTCAGAGATCAGGATCGTGCTGCTGGGCCAGAGAGGGTCTGGGAAGAGCTCAGCAGGAAACACCATCCTGGGCAGAGAGGAGTTTGAGAGCAAGAGAAAAATTCTGACTTGGACCGGATCCCATCAGTGTGTGAAGAGACAGAGTGAAGTAGCTGGAAGGCAGATCACTGTGGTTGAAACAACAGGCTGGTATTCTTGTCAGCTGTACTCAGTCCTCTATGAACAGGAGTCTTCTGCACAGGACACTCTAGAGTGGATCAGAAAGGTGATCGAACCCAGTGTGTCTCTGTGTCCCCCAGGACCCCACGCTCTCCTCCTGGTGATTAATCTGGACTCTGTGAAAGAGAAAAGATCAGTGGAGAAACATCTGGAGCTTCTCAGCAAGAGAGCGTGGAGACACACAATAGTGCTGTTCACCTGGGGGGACACACTGAGACACACAACCATTGAGCAGCACATTGAGAGAGGAGGGAAGGAGCTCCAGTGGCTGGGGGAGAAATGTGGGAACAGGTATCATGTTCTCAACAACAAGAACAGGGACGACCACACTCAGGTCACAGAGCTGCTGGAGAAGATAGAAGACATGGTGGCAGGAAAGAGTGACTGTTATTATGAGATTGAGGAAATGAATTTAAAGGAGATGGAAGAGAAGTTATGGACATTGAGAATAAAGAAGAGAGAGAAGATAGAGGAGCTACTGCTGAAGACACTGGGACCCCAACTGCTTCCCAAGAGTGAGTTCATGTTCTCTCTCTGATAGGGGTCACAGCTCAATATAGTCACTATAAAACAGAAGAGAATTTAAACATGACCATAGCATCATACATAACATTACTGCGTGATAGAAAGCTTAGTGACTGTGAAATGGCATTTATTTATTTTAACCAGATAAGTGAGTAATTCAAGCAGGGAGCTGCGTCAGCCTGCGTGGGCAGGAAAGGAACAAATAAAGACATGAGAAGATCCACAACGTTTTGGCTGTGGAGCCTTCTTCAGGTGTGTAATTCTCTCTCTTCCAGTGATGTCCTGGATACCCAGTTCTACAGCAAGGTTCTGCAGGAAAAGACTCACAGCTGTGTTGGAAACAGACCCCTGTGGGGTATCTAACCTGTAGAACAACAGGTCACCACTGGGTCACACTGTGAGCTCTGCTGAGACTCCTCACTCACTGCAGCTCATCTCAGTGGTGAGTTTCTGAAGAGGAATAATCTGTCATCTTTCTTTCTGACAGGGGAGGGACAGGCGGATTCCCATGAGGCACCACAGCGTCTCTCAGAGATCAGGATCGTGCTGCTGGGCCAGAGAGGGTCTGGGAAGAGCTCAGCAGGAAACGCCATCCTGGGCAGAGAGGAGTTTGAGATGTGGGGAGGACCTCAGGAGTGTGTGAAGAGGCAGTGTAAAGTAGTTGGGAGGCAGGTCACTGTGGTCGACACACCAGACTGGTATTCTTCGTCTGTCCTCTTTGAAGAGGAGTCTCCTGTAGAGGACACTCTAAAGTGGATTACAAAGTTGATTGAATTCAGTGTGTCTCTGTGTCCCCCAGGACCCCACGCTCTCCTCGTGGTGATTAATCTGGACTCATACACAGACTGGAGATCAGTGGAGAAACATTTGAAACTTCTCAGTGAGAGAGTGTGGAGACACACAATAGTGTTGTTCACCTGGGGGGACACACTGAGACACACAACCATTGAGCAGCACATTGAGAGAGGAGGGAAGGAGCTCCAGTGGCTGGTGGAGAAATGTGGGAGCAGGTATCATGTTCTCAACAACAAGAACAGGGACGACCGCACTCAGGTCACAGAGCTGCTGGAGAAGATAGATGACATGGTGGCAGGAAACTATGGGCTGTGCTTTACTACTGACATCAAAGAAATAAACACTGAGCTAGAAAAATATATTAAACAAAAGGAGGAGAAGAGACAGAGAGAGACAGAGGAGCTGAGAGAGAGGGAGGAGACGAGACGGAGAGAGACAGAGGAGCTGAGACAGAGGGAGGAGGAGAGACAGAGAGAGACAGAGGAGCTGAGACAGAGGTTGAAGGAGAGACAGAGAGAGACAGAGGAGCTGAGACAGAGGGAGGAGGAGAGACAGAGAGAGACAGAGGAGCTGAGACAGGAGTATGAAAGAAGGGAGAGAGAGAGAGAAGAGGAGCTCAGACAAAGGTTCGAGGAGGAGTGGAGCAGGAGAGAAGAGGAGCTGAAGGAGAAGATGAGAAAGACACTGAAGGAAAAGGAGCTAGAGAAAGAGACAGAGGAGTCCAGACTGCTTGTTAAGAGAACAGGACAAGTGTCCGGGAGACAGGTGACTGTGGTGGACACTCCAGACTGGACCACAGGACAGGAGCACGGAACAGAGACTGACGAGCTAAGAGAGACATTAGAGAGATACAGGAGGGAGACTGATGAGCTGAGAGAGACAGTAGAGAGACACAGGAAGGATTTTGAGGTGCTGAGAGAGACAGTAGAGAGATACAGGAAAGAAATGGAGAAAGAGTTCTGAGGAAAAAGGCAGAGGGGCAGAGAGATGCAAAGAGATACTGCAGCAGGTCAGTCACTGATCCACACAGTCTTTCCCAGCAGGAGAGGAAGACTGAATACTTCCTGGGCACAGAGTGAGGACTTTCCACTGAAACACTGATCTCTTCCTTATAAGATGAGTCATTAGTCACTATCTGAAGAAAATTCTCTAACGATGTCAAGACACACTTCACTTGGGTTTCCACAAAATTCGAATCAGACGTGAACCAGATTCATTGTGAACTCTGGCAGCACATCAAGCTCATTCTCAGTGGGTGTTCAGCACTAATGTCTCCTCCTGAGTAAAACTGGCAGGAATGAGGAGACACTTCTGCACAGGCTGTAATATTATACTACAGCATATGACTAAAGAGAGTCAGTGTAAAGAGTTAATTACTGTAAGTGTAATTAATGTAATAAGGTGTAATGCGTCCTGGTGTCACAGTAACTGTAACTGATAAGATAGAAAGTAATATATTAGTGAATAGGCTCAAAGAATCTTCAAAAAATGCTGGAAATGATATTAGAAAACGTAGTTCACACTGACGAAGTTCACTCGTATTTAATACATTTCTGATTTAATAAATTCCCCTGTTTCTCTGGTAAATCCAGGTTTTACTGCTCATTTCAATGAGTTTTCATTCTTTACATTTCATTAATGTGAAAGACGCGACCCTGTACTGGATACAGCTCATAGAAACTGGACGTACCTCTGTTAACGACTGAAGACACTCAGTATAAAGAGTTAATTAGCTGTAATTAATGTAATGAGCTGTAATGAGTCCCGGTGTGCAGTAACTGTACTGATAACAACACAGACAGTATTATATTAGTGACAGTAACATTCAGGAGATCAAATGTTTTTCTGATAAAATGGGACATTACGCGACTACTACATTTCTGGAAATATTATTATTTTAAATTGTTGTCTGGAGACTGAGGTAACGGGACACTTTAATCAGAAAGTGTGGCTGTAAAGAGCAAAGTTCCCGGTTTTTATACTCGTCCAGAAACTCTCCCCGCTCTGACCTCTCCTCCAGGTCGCTTCTAATGTGTCTGTTCTGGCAGGTCTCTCTCCAACTGGTGTCCTTTTCTATCTCTCTGTCCTGTTTCCTAAAAACCCCCACTAATACCCCGTGTGGGAAAAAAGACTCGCTTGTCACTCCTGTCCCGGTGTCGCAGTAACTGGGACTGAAGCAGACGGAGAGGAGACGCGCGCTTCCAGAACTTTCCTTCCCACTCGGTTCTTCCAGCTGAGCCCCAGACGGACTTTTCCCCTCCTGAGGAAAGCACGGAGCGCCACTTAGCAACCGGCGCAGCAGCAGTATCCAGAGGACGAGCTGGACGTGGGTTTTGGCGCCAGTTTTGCTCTTATATTATCAGCTCATGAGAATAAAGTCAATATAAAGCATGAAAGTCAATTTCTCTCCCTTTTCTGTCTGAACATAAGAGAGGTTACAAACCAGAGACACAGACAGGACACTGTAAGAGTAGGGGTGTCGACAATGTATAAATATAAAAAAAGTCCTGACTGCTGGTCAGTACAGGTCCCAGGACACTGTGTGTGAGAGTAGGGGTGTGGACCCCAGTGTCCTGACTGCTGGTCAGTACAGATGCCAGGACACTGTGTGTGAGAGTAGGGGTGTGGGCCCCGGTGTCCTGACTGCTGGTCAGGACACTGTGTGTGAGAGTGGGGGTATCTTCCTTTTTCAAGTTTCGCTGTGATATACTGAAATACTTCCTCAGTTTCTGTTCCTCTTTGCTGTTTCTTACCCTGGTCAAATACTCAGCTCCTCTCTTTAAGTTCAAGTAGTATTTCAGATTGTGTGTTGTATTTGTGTGTGCTCCAGTGCTCATGTGCTCCAAAAAAAAGAGAAGAAAAGAAAAACACAGCACATTATTCTATTACAAAAAAATATAAAAAAACATTGTACATCACTCTATTACACATGTACTGTATAGTATAACACAAAACAACATATAACATTTATAACACGTCACAAAACATATCGCACTCACTCGTGTTTATTAAAATGCAGATTATATTATATCGAAATTATTTATTTCATTTAAATTTGTATGCTGATATAATTTTGTTTGCTCTCAATACAATACAAAATAAACCATACACATTCATATTCAATTACTGCTACACATGCACAGTTAAAAGAGATAAAATAGAGCCTCCGTATAGAAACACCTGTCGGCTCTCCTACCATATTATCTCTACTATAGAAGTCCAAGCATTTATTGGAGCCTCGATCACCGCCAGTACACGGCAGCCACACAGAGGAAACTCTTCACAGTGGTCTGGGCACGAACACGCGTGGAACCCGCCCGTCCTCTCCGTGGACGTACTGTACAGCGTTTCTCTGCGAGAGCCGGGCGAGGCGGGTCCTGTACGTGTGAATCTCTCAGGCTGCATAGGCGTCTATTCTCTCAGGATTACGGCGCGCCCGTGCCGTGACTCGCTCCCAGCGGCGCCTCCACTTCCTCCGCATTTTGGGGTCCCGGTTCCGCTCATTTCATGTTAACTGCGCTCGGACCTGCGGACCGGAGCCTGTAGTCCTGCTGGAGCACGTCAGAGCGCCAGCCCGGCCGCTAAGATGGTCAGGAGAAACTTCTGAACTTTTCTCTCTTCTCACGGTGTGTCGGTTTAGCGAGAAATTATGGATTTTTGGTTCTGAAATCGGGAAATTGCTCGCAAATCACGCTTTCAGGATATAGGATCAGCTCCTGAAAGCTCATCGTACATCGAAGCCTGTTTAAAACATATCCGTTGCTTTTAAATCGTTTATACATCCTCGAACAATTTCTCTCTCCTGATCTGTGTGGTCTGGAATACAGCTTTGTGGAGAAACAATCGAAAAAGAGCACAATTGACTCTTTTTACACACACAGTTTATTTATATACTTCCCATTTCTTTGCAGGTAAATTAACAACCCTGAAGTGAGATGGAAGATGAACATTATTCATCTCATATAGCCCCTTTAAAAGTGACTTCTTATCGTGCTCTGCACAGGAAGACTCCACACTGAGAGGAAACAGCAGAATTACCCAGGACCACTGAAATTAAAGCTCTTTTATTGAAAAAGGTTTATTTGGTGATGTTTTTACCTGTTTCTCTAAATCCTAAATACTAATTGTTTCTTTTAAATTGTTTTTACACGTTTGTTCCCCAAAAGAGTATTTGTTTAATGCACATATAAAGTATTATCTCTTTTATATAGTGACACATTTCGGAAAACACTGACTCAGTGCTCCAGGTTCACAGGGGAAGTGAGTTTAACACGGAGTCTTTTTCAGTCCGTTCGCAGTTAATCATTGTATTAAAGACAAACTCGTGCGATTTGCCTCAGTTACTTTTAAAATATCTGGGTTTCCTGAGTCTTTTACCTGAAGCAGCTGATGAATTGACAGAGCCTGCCTGTTACTGGAACAACACGAGTCCCATGAGAGTTTATGCATGAAAAGTATTTTCAGGGCTCATCTTGCTCATCTTTACAAGTGCCAATAATTCTGCACTGTAACTCTGTAAACAAACCTACAATCAGTGATAAGAAGCTGGTAAGTGAGATAAATAATTTGTGATCTTTCTCTCTGACAAGGGAGGGACAGGCTGATTCCCGTGAGGCACCACAGTGTCTCTCAGAGATCCGGATTGTGCTGCTGGGGGGACGACGGGGTGGGAAGAGCTCAGCAGGAAACACCATCCTGGGCAGAGAGGAGTTCCAGACATAGGGAGAAGCTTAGGAGTGTGTGAAGAGACAGGGTGAAGTAGCTGGGAGGCAGATCACTGTGGTCGACACTCCAGACTTGGATGTGTGGCTGATGAGGAATGATCCATAGCAGATCAGACAGGAAATTGTGAAGACTGTGTCTCTGTGTCCCCCAGGACCCCACAGTCTCCTCCTGGTGATTAATCTGGAATCAAACACAGACTGGAGATCAGTGAAGGAACAACTAGACCTTTGCAGTGAGAGACTCTGGAGACACACAATAGTGCTGTTCACCTGGGAGGACACACTGAGAGACACAACCATTGAGCAGCTCATTGAGAGAGGAGGGAGGGATCTCCAGTGGCTGGGGGAGAAGTGTGGGAACAGGTATCATGTTCTCAACAACAAGAACAGGGGCGACCACACTCAGGTCACAGAGCTGCTGGAGAAGATAGAGGACATGGTGGCAGGAAAGAGTGGCTGTTATGATAAAGCTGAAAAGGATTTACAGAAAATGGAAGAAGAGTTCAGGATTTTGGGAATAAAGGAGAGACAGAGGATAGAGGAGCTACTGCAGACCACACTGGGACCCCAACTGCTTCCCATGAGTGAGTTCATGATCTCTCTCTAATTCAGCTTACAGCTCAGTACTGTCAGTGTGGGGCACTCCCTTCAGACTAAAGAGACTCCGTTCCTTTAGCCTGTCAGTGTGGGACACTCCCTTCAGACTAAAGAGACTCAGTTCCCCCAGCCTGTGAATGTGGGACACTCCCTTCAGACTAAAGAGACTCAGTTCCCCCAGCCTGTGAGTGTGGGACACTCCCTTCAGACTAAAGAGACTCAGTTCCTCCATCCTGTCAGTGTAGATTATTTTCTTCAGCACAGAATGTTTCTTTTCTCCAGACTCATTTCAGAGCATTGATATCTTTTGGATAAAGTGGTAATTTAAATTTTACAAGGTCAGTGTTGTACAGTTTAAAGATGCCAGACTGTCTTTTAACTCTATAAACTAACGACTGTCTTATTCTCTTCAGGGGAGGTCAGAGGAGATCTGAGCAGAGAGTTGAAGATCCAAGGGTTCAGACTGGGCTCTATAGGAGTGTTTCACACTCAGTAATGAAATTAAAGGCTCACAGTTGGAAACATTTTGGACAGAATAGAAAACACTTCTTTACTGAAAGAGTGGTGAGTGTCTGAACAAGACGTCCCTGCCAAGTGCTTAAGACTAAACCTTTCAGACATTTTAGATTCACAGCTACCAAACGAGCAGGATGGGAAATGATTTTGTGATTTTTCCTAAACTCTGGGCTCCTTTCAGACATGGCTGGGTGAGATTGTAGATTCACTCAGGTATGGAGCTCTTGATCTTCCAACAAGCAGCCTGGGCTGAAGGAGCTGCTCTCTAGTTTTCTCACTGCCTGCTCGTGTGAAAGTCTTGACTACAGGGTTCAGATTTGCTCTGTGTCTGAACAGTCTGACTCTGCGAACTCCTACTGCTACTGAACACAGTGTGTTATTGGGAGTGCTGTGAATGAAGAAACAGGCCTTTTCAAATCAATGTTCATGACAGCTATTTCAAAACAAACTCATTGTATTTAATCGTGCAAATTAATACAATTTAACAGGAAATTGTGATTTGTACTAGAAAGAATAGATTCAAACCTACGATCAGTGATAAGAAGCTGGTAAGAGAGATAAATAATCTGTGATCTTTCTCTCTAACAGGGAGGAGATGGACTGATTCCCATGAGGCACCACAGCGTCTGTCAGAGATCAGGATCGTGCTGCTGGGGGGACGATGGGCTGGGAAGAGCTCAGCAGGAAACTCCATCCGGGGGAAGAAAGATGTTTGAGACTTCTAGTAGACTGTGGTTTCTGTGTGAAGGTGTAACTGAGGAGTGTGAGAAAAGACAGGTTGAAGTAGCTGGGAGGCAGGTCACTGTGGTCAACACTCCAGACTGGGATGTGTGGCTGATGAGGAATGATCCACAGCAGATCAGACAGGAAATTGTGAAGTTTCAGATTAGAAAAGTAGCTAAGAAGTCTGTGAAGCGACAGAGTAAACTATTTCTGAGTTCGACCACTGTGGTCAACACTCCAGACAGGTATTGCATTCTTCAGCGGTACGCAGCACAGGAATCGCTAGAGAGGATTAAAAAAGTTAATTGAGCCTACTTTGACTCTGTGTCCCCCAGGACCCCACGCTCTCCTCCTGGTGATTAATCTGGACTCATACACAGACTGGAGATCAGTGAATAAACATCTGGAGCTTTTCAGTGAGAGAGTGTGGAGACACACAATAGTGCTGTTCACCTGGGGGGACACACTGAGCGACACAACCATTGAGCAGCACATTGAGAGAGGAGGGAAGGAGCTCCAGTGGCTGGTGGAGAAATGTGGGAACAGGTATCATGTTCTCAACAACAAGAACAGGGGCGACCACACTCAGGTCACAGAGCTGCTGGAGAAGATAGAGGAGCTGGTGGCAGGAAACTATGGGCTGTACTTCACTACTGACATTGAACAACTACACACTGAACTGGAGAAATATATCAGACAGATGGAGGAGGGTAGACAGAGAGAGACTAAGGAGCTGAGTCAGAGGGAGGAGGAGAGACAGAGGAGTTGAGACAGAAGTATGAAAGAAGGGAGAGAGAGAAGAGGAGCTCAGACAGAGGTTGGAGGAGGAGTGGAGCAGGACTGAAGAGGAGCTGAAAGAGAATATGAGAAAGACACTGAAGGAAGAGGAGCTGGAGAAAGAGACAGAGTAGCCCAGACTGCCTGTCAAGAGGAGGGACAACCCTCCCAACAGTGAGTGTGATTGATGCTGTATTACGGAGTCACTGATCTTAATGCTCATCAACTGAGTGATTCAAACATCTTGTGTCCCATTAGGAACTAAAATAATACTGAGCTCCACTCTGTTCTGTATTACTAACATAGTGACACACTGATATTGGTTAACATTATATATATATACAGTATATCAGTTTAAATAGGGTTTAATTGAACAAGTTGTTTTCTGTTTGTGGGACAGAAGTTCAGTCACACCAACAATAAGCTGTTCCTCAAGACTATCTGACCAGCAATGTCAAAGGCAGCTCTGAAGTCTTGCAGGGCAGGAATGGATGAAAGAACCCATCAGCAGATCATTAGAAACCCTAACAAGAGCTGTTTCTGTACGTCAGTCTGAAAGACTCATCACAGCTTGTCTGCAGATGAGCGAGTCTGACTGAACAGCAGCAGCCTGTTGTAGAATCTGTGTCAAACAGGGTGAGATGGAGAATTACTGAACAGCCTGGAGTATCAGATGAGGAGTATCGCAGGATTCAATCTGAAAGGATAGACATTTAGTTCACAGGTGGTAACAGGGTCCAGTGTGCAGAAAATCAACTCTCAATTTTGCTAACGGTTGTTTCTGTAATGTAGATTGAGTCACAGTGGCCTCTCCACACAACACAAGTCACAGTAGACCCAAACAGAAAAAAAAAACCCAAAAAACAAAAAAGCACCAGCAGTCTCAGAAAAATAGATTGTTGTATGATATAGTATTATCTGAAATTTTGAGACAGACTCACTCTATGATGCCCTTATCTTCGTTTCAACAGGTTGTGCGCCTTCATCTGGGGGATCTGAGACTGATGAAGCTGTGTCCAAGGTCAGCAGAGACAGAGTGTTTATACCTCCTGAAAAATTGATCACCTCCCTGACTATCAGCACTCTTTATGTGAAAGAGCAGCTCTGTGTCTGTGTCGGGGTGTCTCTGGGAGCTGGCCTGTGTTAATATTGGGGTGTCCCAATGAGAGCTGGCCTGTGTCAGTGTTGGGGTGTCTCGATGAGAGCTGGCCTGTGTTAGTATTGGGGTGTTTCGATGAGAGCTGGCCAGTGTCTGTG